AAAGGTAATTGCTGGGTCGCCAAACTATGTTGGATGAAGTGGATCTGTCAATTTTTCTTTAATTTGGGCAGTGGCTTTAGGCTTCCGTTAGCTAAGGTCTTTCAGCATCCATAGATTTCTGCTCTCATGCAGAGGTATCCGTGCCATTCCAAGATTATTATTTTCACATACTGGGCCATGACTTTTTCTTTAAGAGTGTTGACTACGACCGTATTCTTGTCTGTGTTTCCCACAAAAACCTAAGTGTAGAAAATAGTTCAAAATCTCTGGTATAAAAGTTTTTTTTGCTATCAACACTCGAACACAGCCTCATTGGAACAGTGTGCAATAGGTCTTTAGCATGAAACGGCAAAATACCCACTGGGATGTTCAAAACAAAGGAAAGTCAAGTTTGATGGGCTGTGTTCCTTTTGTATTTTGAGGTTGTTTACATTCTTTCTCCATCCAGTATGGTGAATTTAGTACATAAATTCTACTTCGCAGGTTCATACTCGCTCTACTGAGGGGCAATGTCGACATTGAAATTTACGTTGTCTCACCTTTACAATTCCCATCTCACGATAGTCCATCCATTGTGTGTTCGCACGCTTGTACTCTAGTCGATATTTCTTCGGGTAGTCATTTCCATAGTATGGTCGCCCTTGAGTTGCCACTTGCTTTAGGTTTACGACTCGACCAATATCAATCTGTAGATACTCACCAGCTTGGCTAGTCGCAACACACCATGCTCCGTTATTTAATTCAGAATKAAACGGCATTGGGGGCTTGTTGTGGAGACGTGCTCTCCAGCTAATGTGGCCATTTGATAAAGACGAGGATGCAGTGATGGAGGAGTCGGGAATTGCATTCGATTCCATGCCCAGTGCTGTAGTGCAAACTAAAAAAAGGCAAGAGTCTCTAAATCTAGTATTCATTCAATCTCTTGCACTTAAGTAAGCAAAAGTCAGGCGGTCATGTTGCTGGTGTAAACAATAAATACTAATGAGAAATCCTGACGTCACCAATATGGCCATCATGACGTCACCGGACRACCATGAATTTATATTAAAATGTTTTCGTACGTAGGATTCATGATAAATACTCAGTTTTGTTCCTTCTACGTGTGTTTTAATATTCCGAACATAACTGCTTAAGAGCGCGCAATTGCKTGCGAACACACAATGGATGGACTATCGTGAGATGGGAATTGTAAAGGTGAGACAACGTAAATTTCAATGTCGTTATGTTACCATAGTGTTTTGTTTACATTTGTATCCTCGCGCACGCATTGTAATTTCATTTTGCCCTGATGATGGACAAGTTGTCCGAAAGCTCGGAATATTAAAACACACGTAGAAGGAACAAAACTGAGTATTTATCATGAATTTATAGTTTTCTATGTTGAAAAAAGCAAATTCTCAAGAATCACCTTTGCATTCGTAGTCCTTCCCATCATCTTTTACAAAGCAAGCATGGTTCGTACTGCAGTATTGGTCACTACAAGCGTTCATTGGACGTTGATGGTTGATCACGTGACTGTACACTCCATCTGAATCATGGGTAAGGTCAATGGGACTTGTAAAGTGGTTTTCTTTGCTGAGTTCGCACTTGTGATGCTTAGGGTAGAAGTTAACGCTGTAGCATTCATTATGCGATGCACATTTCTCCTCGCAATAGCTTAGGTTTTGTGATTGCAGCTCTTGAATCACGTGATTTTTAAGCACGAAGGAATTCTGGGTATATGTAGACGAACA